ATTCAAAATCCTACCGAAACTCCACGGATATACGTTTGGACAGGAACACACGGTTATAAATTTTGTATAGAGTAGACAGAAGATATCAGGGAAAAACAGTGCTAAGATGTCGGTCAGACTCTGCGATTGCATCGCGCGATGCAGTCGCTCTTGCAATGTGCACAAGCGACGGGCGATTGGCCCCGCCCGTCGACATCGGTATCGATCGCGGCGGGCCATTGCCCGCCGCTTGCACTTTTGTCCCTTTTGGCCAGCTGCCACTTTTGGCCGATTGATCGTGCGATGCAAAGTCTGACTTACATCTAAATTTAGCATTTTTTTCTCATTTTTACATCATGCAAATGCGCCCCCCCCAATAATCATATGAGAACATCAAGAGCGACCAACTCACCAAAGCTTACACGGATACGTAGCAGTAGTTGGTGACCTCCTTGCAAGGGATTTATGGAGTGGGGCCTTTTTGGAGACGTCGCTGACTGCTTCTTTGCCCAAAGTGACTGTTGCTTGAGCACAATGGGTTAGATGAACGAGTGTCAGGTCGAAAGTAATCAGGCTGGTGTCAGAGTCCGCGATCCGTCGCAGGTTTCACTGATTTTCGCTATTTTCGCGATTTGCGCGAAGCCTGCCTCCAGGTGTGCGTGATATGGGAAGGTAATCTTGGTTTGCTCGACGTTTTTGAGACAGTAATCAGGTTTGGGTGAGAATGATTTGAAATGGCGAATTAGTCCTCAAGTTTTATGCGTACGTGACAGTGTCGTTTTCAAATGAGCTCAAGGATCATGATATTCCGGTCTCCGAAAATTTTGCAAGACGTTACGTTCAAAAATCTATCTTTATTTTTAAGGTACCTGTTGAAACCTGATTTCATGCGGCGACCGGACAGAACCTTCGACCCGTTTTCTGAATCACCTGTGGATGGTGTGATTGCTGCGCATTGTAGTGTTCGAGTACGTTGAAATTTTGTGACGGTTCTCTTTTTAAGATAATTGAAAGCGTTGGTTTTCAGGTAATTTCGGGGCAGTTCTTGACGGACAGGAAGGTTGGCACGTATGTGGAAGTAGAAATGTATGGTTTACCAACGGATACAATAAGGAAGGAACATAAGACCAAAGTCATACCAGCGAACGGGCTCAATCCTGTTTACAGTGAAGCTCCATTCGTGTTCAGAAAGGTAATTTCGTCTAGTCTCGGTATCTATAGTTTGTATTTGATTGAGCTTAGTGTTGAGGCAGCTTTCTAAAGTAGCGTGTTCAGGTGGTGCTACCTGAGTTGGCTGTGTTGCGGTTTGCTGTTTACGATGAGAATGGGAAACAACTAGGACAGCGCATTCTGCCTCTCGATGGGCTTCAAGCTGGGTATAGACATATTTCCCTTCGATCCGACACAAACCAGGTAATTTACTTTGTAATGGTTCAAATTTCATTCTCCAAAGTTTTACATTTCGCTTAATATTCAGACTATGGTTCTCGCTCCTACCTTGTTCGTTCACATTGTCATCAAAACCTACGTCCCGGATGAACTGAGCGGTAAGGCTTTTTTTGTACACTTACAAGGGAAGGATGGTAGGTCGAAGTGGCCGTTCAAAATGAGAATGTATACCACCTGATGCGTCTCCAGACGCTGATTCCAAATCTGCCTTCCAAATCTGCTAAACGACTCTCCGAACGGAGTTATGAAGCGTAATAGCTCAGTGGTGATGGTCCGGGGTGGCAGGTAAAAGCTCGTAGGATCGGTTCCTTTGCAAGTTTGTTGCTTTGCTTTTGTCTCTAGAAGTGTTGCGGACAAAAGCAAAGCAACAAACTTGCAAAGGAACCGATCCTACGAGCTTTTACCTGCCACCCCGGACCATCACCACTGAGCTATTACGCTTCATAACTCCGTTCGGAGAGTCGTTTAGCAGATTTGGAAGGCAGATTTGGAATCAGCGTCTGGAGACGCATCAGGTGGTATACATCTCATTTCGAACGGCCACTTCGACCTACCATCCTTCCCTTGTAGCAGTAAAACAAAAGGTTTGCTTCATCATGGAAATTTTTTTCTAGGTTTGGTTGATGCTTTGGCAGATCCAAGAGCTTACCTTTCTGAGCAGAAGAAACGGCAAGAAGCGTTGGCCCACATGGGGGTTGACGACAGTGATATCGTTGAGGTAGGTTTTCTAGGCATAGAAAAGCTGTTACTGTCACTTTCTTTCGATTCTAGTGTTCTTTCTTGAAGGTACCCGCTGGAAAAGCTGCCGCGACAAAAGGAAAAGTTCTTCAAAAGACGAATGGCTCGGCCGCAAACTTGCTCAGCGAGTAGGTTCATTCATCTGTCGTGTTTTCTCGAGTTTTCGCAGCCCTGTTATTCCCGATTATTACTGTTCAGTCGTAGCAGAAATGAAACCACCTCCTTTTTTGCTGTCAGGAAATAGACTAAATGAGAGGAGGAAAGAGTAGTCTACCCCTTCGGTTCCGAATCATCCCTTGTTTTATTTACTGTTGCCCTTTTTTCATATGTCGGGGCCACGGTTATGTAAAAGTGAGCGAAATTCTTCTAATTTTTTAAAATCGTTCGTGGTCGAGGCTACGGTTAACATATTTAATCCCTTATAATGGAGGTGAAAAAATATGTTTCAGAAAAGAGAATCCTCCGTCTTCTGCGCGCTCAGATGGTTGTGCAGCCACGACTGGCACATCCAAAGTCAACAACGAAGCGGCGCCTGCACCAGTAGACAAGTTCAAGGTGAAGATTTACTGATTTCAAGAAAATGTAGAAGTGTTTATATGTGTGCAATAACTTCGTTCATATCGTTGTCATACAGCATTTATCGCTGGGAACACCACATCGCAAACGCTCGTTTATGCGAGGTAGACACGATGACAGTCCTACTCACCTGTCGGCTCCTCCGATTGCACGGAAGCCTAGCACAGAAACAGAAAGATCCCTATACGGTTCTATGAGGCGTCCACATCATGATGAAAAGTTGAAGGTGGAGCTGCACGCTCCCTCGGAACGCAAATCATTTTTATTGTTATGCATTTCCACTTTGACCGCATAAATCCCTGAGTACCACCGTTTTCCTTCTTTTTCCTACCCTCAAGTTTTTGTGATGCTCCTTAACAGTGAAAGTCTGATAAATTGTTCTTGAGTGCCACGCATTCTTTCAGGTGGAGCCAATTGACGTGGATGAGCTGAAAAAAGACAAGGTTTTTGCAAAGCTCCTGAAAAGGTTCCAGAAAGATAGTGAGGAATTGAAGAAGAAACATCAGAAGCAGCGGGACAGCATTCAGAAACAACAGGTAGGCGATCACGTTTTGAACTCTCGTTTTGCGTGAGCTGATCTTCAGTTTATTTTTCTGGGTTGTTGTTGTACCTGTTCCCATGAACATATTAAAGGAAAACAAATAGAATTCCAATCGTAGTAGCATTTTGTCACTGATAATGCTTACAGCCACCCAGACGCGCCTCAATCGCTTGGATTGTAAGTTTTCACGTGCTAAGGCTACCGCTTCTAACTTTCTCTTTTGGCTTTAGTGATACTTTTTGTAACTTTATGGTAATCAATTAACAACTAATAATCGCAATGTGAGCGACGACAAATAACAATGGTTTGCCGTTGGAATTTAAGCTAATCTTTAAAGTTTAGTTATTGGAGTTTTGTTCGGTGAAATGTGCGAGCTTCTTTGTTATAAATCGTGACGTCTTATGACATTTATTAGGCTATTCCAATCCGTGTTAGCGTTTGTGACGCGATAAAGATATTGCCGAATGAAGTGATACCTCCGTTGTTCGACCTGTTCATCCGCTCTGTTCATCTGTTCCTTTTAGCAAACAAATGTCGACAAGCTAATGACGAATAATCGGCGTTCAACGAGGAAAGAAAAAGGTGGACGACGATTGACGAGTGACTGCAGCGATGGCGCCGGAGCTAGCAACATGGCAAATAATGATCGGGTAAGAGTCCACTGTATTCACGTTCATCAATTTCTGCAAAATATTCAAATGCACATTCACGGCGCACTCTGAATATTCGTAGCTTGTGCTGCTCAGGAAAGGTGCTAGCTTCTTGGGGAGTGAGCTAGGCGTGTCTAATGCGATGTGTCGAATGTGTCTAATGCTGGTTAACCTTCCATCTGGCCGAGCGAGTCATGTTTTGTGATCGGGTACCCCCAGGAGGCCCGTCGCGCGGCAAGAAGGCAAAGTCAGCGGACGAGTCGCGCGCGTACTATAGGGATTTCGCGTCAAGTTAAATAGAGTGTCCCATTGCACGTCCTACATCGCACATCACGCGCTGCAACTCGTCCGCGACTCTGCCTTCTTGCCGCGCGACGGGCCTCCTGGGGGTACCCTTTGTGATCGGGCAAAGGAAAGGCTAACTTGGGCGAGGCGCCGTATTTGCGTGAGGCTTGTGATGAGGATATTTGTCTGAAATGGAAGGATTTCTCTCCTTCCCTAATTGTACTTTGGGGAGTTTGCAATTTTTTGTGTGCCAGGTATGAATAGCTTCAACGGCCCCTATCGACGCGTTCGCGCTGTCAGCTATAGGAGGTTGGAGAGGAGGGGGTCATTTATCCGAAATAAACCAAACGACGACGACGTCATTCACACTGGGCGGTAGGTGGCGTAAGTAACGCTATTAGTCCCCAAGTGCTGCCGAGCAACTGGTGTGTCCCTTGTGGACTTAATCCCAGAAGGGGTGGTGGTTTGGGCGGAGTCTGCACCACCTTTCCCTGGTCTTAGAAATTTGTTCAATTTCAGCGTTAAGTGCTCCACAGTTGTTGGCGTGTGTAACAGTAAAAATTATCTCCAGAAGGGTTTCACTTGGGGCTCTTAAGAATTTTTGCTGGTGAGCCATATCGCACCCGGAGTCTCATTTCTGAACCCTGCTGCTCCATCACATCATCGAGGAATAAGCTTCGAAATTACTAGATGGCAGCACATTCGATAGCTCTTTCAGGTTCGCTCTCTTGTCAATGTGCAGACAGACGAGTGGTCAGCGATGATGAGGCGGCATGAAGCAGAGGAATTCGAGATGAGGAAAGCACAATTGAAAGAGCAGACAGAAACACTCAGGTGAGTAGGTCAAGCGGCCAATAGTAAGCTGGGAGGTGAAATGTTTTCGCAGGTGTGAATCTTATTTGACATGTGAAGAATGCGAAAATCATTATTGAGGGGCCTAATGATGTTTTGCGCACGATAGACACTCTTTAA